TGACCTCAGGTGATCCACCTGCCTTGGCCTCCCAAAGTGCTGGGATTACAGGCATGAGCTACTACGCCCAGCCTATTATTATTATTTTGAGTCAGAGTCTCACTCTGTCACCCAGGCTGGAGTGCAGTGGCATAATCTTGACTCACTGTAGCCTCCGCCTCCCGGGTTCAAGCGGTTCTCCTGCCTCAGCCTCCAGAGTAGCTGGGATTACAGGCATGTGCCACCACGCCCAGCTAATTCTTTTGTACTTTTTAGTAGAGATAGGGTTTCACTAGGTAGACCAGGCTGGTCTCGAACTCCTAGCCTCCAGTGGTCCACCCACCTCAGCCTCCCCAAGTGCTGGGATGACACATGTGAGCCACCGCACCAAACTTCTTATTATTTTCATCCACAATCTTGCTGCAGTTTCAGTATTGGCCATCAACCTATATTGCCTCCTGGTAATGACCCCTGAGGAATTAGCCATTTCATTTCCATTGGAGGAGGATCATGATGGTGAGAACCTCACTGACCTGGGAGAGGTGGCGAAGCTACTGGGAAGCTGTTGGGGGTGGCCCACCTATGGTAGGAGCAGGCAGATGGGGACCCACGGGGACAGTAATCCTATTTTGGACACACACAACCTGAGTGGAAAATGCCTTGAGGCACAGCAGCGTCTGAGACGAGTGAGAAATCCAGCCTGCAGAGTCGTGGCTGGCCTTCAGATCTGCAGACTGCCTATGGCATGCTGTGTTACCTAAAGCCGTTTGGGCACTGAGCTCCAGGAGCAGGGGCAAGAATTCCAATAATGGGGCTTTATCCAGGGTGCATCCAGCTCAGAGTGGTTTCTGAGGCCAGCTGCTGTGGGTAGCCAGGATGCATTTGTCCTTGAGATTTTCCAGGGCATCAAGGTGATGTTTGGATAAAGAATTTAGCACAGCAGGCGCCCACTACATGAGATGCACTAACAATGTCTGTGGAGGCCGGGCGGAGTGTGGCTCATGCCTGTTATCCCAGCACTTTGGGAGGCCAAGGTGGGAAGACTGCTTGAGGCCAGGAGTTCAAGACCAGCCTGGGCAACACAGCAAGACCTCATCTCCACCAAAAAAAAAAAAAAAAGAAAAAAGTAAAAAATTCACTGGGCCTGGTGGTGCACACTTGTAGTCCCAGCTACTCGGGAGGCTGAGGCAGGAGGATTGCTTGATCTCAGGAGTTCCGGGCTGCAGTGAGCTATGATTGCACCACTGCACTCCAGCCTGAGCAATAGAGCAAGACCCTGTAATAAAGAAGTCTGTTGAAAAGAATGAATGAATGAAGGAAGGAAGGAAGGAAGGAAGCAAGGAAGGAAGGAATGAGAAGGGAACCCTGTCCCAGCTCCTCCGGCAGGGAAGCTGGGGCAGGGCGGGCAGGGGGAGCATCCAGCCCCACTCCCTCCCTCACTCTGGCCCAGAAAGCACTGGTGCCATCTGTACAGGGAGGAGCCACAGAAAATGCCCCACTCACAGCAGAGGGAGGCCATGCGAGGACAGCAGGGAAAATGGGATCTCAGCCATCCGGGAGGGGGCCAGAGAAGTGGGATGGACACCTAGGAAATCCAGCCGAGGACGATGCAGTGGCTTCTGACTCTGGTCCCCTGGCTGAGCGCGTTCCCTTTACAGTTTAAATTTAGGCTCAAGGAGAAGAAGTTGGCAATTGGCAGGGCCATGCGGTAGAGAGGATGTAGGGTTTCCAGAAAATCACCAACACTTGGGCAGTGCTGGCTGTGTGCTCATCCAAGCATGTTACGGACTTTAACTCATTTCCTCTCCCAGCAACCCCCACTGCCCAGAGGGTCTGAGTATTCCCATCTCCATTTTACAGAGGCTCAGAGAGGTGCCGTCATTTGCCTGAGGCCACACAGCTAGTAAGAAGCAGAGTCAGGATTTGAACCCTGGCAGTCTGGTCCCAGAGCCCAGGCTTTTGACCATTAGGCTATACTGCCCCAGTTATAACAATAATAATAATATTAATAAAAATGAACCTTTATTGAGTGCTATTTATAGATCAAGCTCTCTTCTAAAGATTTTTAAAGCATATTTAATTCTCGCAGCACTCTGATGAAGGAGGCGTTTTAAATATCAACATTTTACAGTTGAAGAAACAGAGGCCCAGAGACATTGAGCCACTTGTCTAAGGTCACACAGCTGACTAGTGGCAGAGTCAGCCTTTGAACCTCAGCCTCTGGTTGCAGAGCTTCGGCTTTTAGGCCCTGAATGACGCAGATGTGCCCTCGAGTTACACAGGGAGGCGGGTTGAGGGTGACCCCCACCAGGCCTACCCAAGGCTGGGTATTCATAATCACAGTGCACACACCAGGCCCAGGGAGGCCGAGCCACTTGCCCAAGCTCACACAGCAAGCTTACCCCACACCCGGGCTGTCCTGCAGCCTGGGCTACCCCGTTAACCCTACCTGGCCACTGCAGCCAACAGAGACATGGCATCCATCGTGTCTGAGATCATGATGTATGTGCTCATCGTCGTGCTGACCATATGGCTCGTGGCGGAGATGGTTTACTGCTACAAGAAGATCGCTGCCGCCACGGAGACTGCTGCACAAGAGAACGCGTGAGTGGGGTGACTGGGAGGCAGGAGGGCACCCAGGGCACCGTCACACACAGAGAAGAGCAAGGGAGCCAGGCTAGGGGGTGGGGAGCGACCCAGTGCGCCATCTCTCAGTACTTGCAGAGGGGAGTGCTTTCTGTCAGACAGGGGATAGGGGGTGTCGGGCCCAGCCCTTTCCTCCCTGAAACTCAAGAGCCCATGTAGCCTCCTCCACTCTTTAAGGAGCCCTGTGTACCTGGGGCAGAGACCGCTACCCTCCCTGTCCCCTGGGGGCCAGTCTGATAATGGGGTCACTGTACACCTGACCTTTCCCCGACAGCTCGGAATACCTGGCCATCACCTCGGAAAGCAAAGAGAACTGCACGGGTGTCCAGGTGGCCGAATAGCCCTGGTAAGGCGGATGGGCGGGCAGGGGGCCCGGGGATTGGGAGGGGTGGAAGTCCCCCAGGTCCCTAATTCCCCGTCTCTTGCACCCCTTCAGGCTCTGGGCCCCTCCTCAAGGAAGAGCCAGCCCTAATGGGGACTCTCCAGACACCGCCTGCCCCCATTTGGGGTGGGGTGGCCGCTTCTGGGCCCCGGAAAGCCTCAGAGTCCTGCCGACAGAGCCACCGGGGAGGGAGCGGGCCGGGGGCTTGGCTTGCACCCCCACCTTCGCCTCCTCCAGCTCCTGCCCCCGGCCGCGCACCGCCATGCATGATGGGTAAAGCAATACAGCCGCTGCCCCCACCCTGCTTCTGCTGCCTGTTTGGGGAGGGGGGCGGTGAGGTGGGGGCAGCGGCCCCGCACCCCTCCTCCTTGCTGATTTGCACACATTGGCCGCTTCAGACGTGCACTTCTGGGGCCAGCCCCTCCCCGCCTCCTCCCTGCCCGGGGGCAGGGGTCGCGATGATGGGCTGGAGCAGTTTGGGGCAAGGGGTTCTGGGGCCCACTCCCACTCTCCCTCCCCAGCATCATTTCCCCTCCCGCTTCCTCCGGCTGGACCTGGGGTACCCGTCCCGGTGATGCACTCCTGCCCCGGCCCAACCTCGCCCTCTCTCACCAGCCTTGAACTGTGGCCACCTAGAAAGGGGCCCATTCAGCCTCGTCTCTCTTTACAAAGTAGTTTTGTTCATGAAATAAAGACTCTCGGACTTGATGCAGAGTTTTGATTGTGAGCCCCGTCACCTTCCCACGTTCCCGTCCCCGAATCCTAGGGCCGGCTTTCCAGGGCCCCTGCCTGTGGGCCACAGGTGAAGCCACTTAGTGCCTGGTGTGTGTCGGGCTTGGGTTAGGGGAGTCATTCGCTCAGGGGGGACCAAGAGTGGTGAGGGAGGGAGAGTGGGATGGAGCCGGGAAGGGAGGGGGTGCCGTGGAGGGAAGAGAGGGGAGGCTCAGGCCGGCATGCAGGGCTTTCACGGGGTGTGCGGTGTGCCCAGCAATGTGGGTCTCTGGAGAGGTGGGCGCTGGGGAGGAGAGGGAAGGAGAGCCGGGTACGGATGGAGAGGCAGAGGAAGCCAGGCTAAGGCAGCGTGTCCCAGTGAGGGCCCTGGGCTGAGTGGAGGAAATGGGAGCGGTGAGGGTGGGTTTGGCTGGGCACAGCGGGCACCTGTGGGTGAGCGGGTGGGGCCGGTGGTGCGGGCGCCCTATCTGGGCCAAGCCGCCGAGGCCGACTGTGTCCGGCGTGTGGGGGAGGGGGTAGGTGTCTGACGGTGACCCTGCGCGTCTGGTGTTTGCCTGGCCCTGGGTCTGACGTGGACCGCGCCTGGCTGCTGGCGGGACAGTATGTTATCTGCCCGCGGACGCTTCCGGCCACTCGGCCTGGGCCTCTGCCCTCAGCGCTGTGTTTTCCGGGCCAAGCCCCCCCATCCCCCCTATCTAGTGCTAGGACTTTCTGGCTCCAGAGGTCACCGCGGCCGGGCGGAGGCTGCCAAAGCAAACCAGCCCAGTGACTTGTAGGAAGGCCGCGGGGGAGGGGCAGGGGGAGGATGAGCAGGGCAAGCGGGGGGATGGGGGGGCCGGGGCTGGGGTCGGGGCCCGGGAATTGGGCACGGGATTGGGCAGGGGTGTAGGAAGTGGCGGGCTCAGCCTGGACCCGGGGCTGGAGGGCGCAGGCAGGGCGCGGGGAGGGGTCGCCGGGCGGGGGTGGAGTGGTCTTAGGGCAACTGGGGCCCTCCGTGGGATTTCCTAGGGTCAGACCCCCGCCCTTGAGCCCGGTAGGCGCCCCCAGCCTACACTTTCTCCCTAACCCCCCAGCCTCCAGCCAGCGGACAGTTCCCACGTCTCCGCAGGCAGGCACACCTGGGTCCCTCTGGAGCCCCGTCGCTGGGCCCGCCTGGTCCAGCCCCTGCAAGCCCGGCCCCATCAGCCAGGTGGCCTCCAGCGCTGCCAATCGAATGGTCCGGCCCCTCCCCGCCCCTTCGCCCGCCCCTTGCCCAGCCCCCTCCTCCTCAGGTGAGGCAGCCTGGCCTAGCAGGTCCCACGCCACCGCCTCTGCCTCCGGGCCGTCCGCTGCTGCGGGGCCACCATGCTCCTGCCCAGGCCTGGAGACTGACCCGACCCCCGCAACACCTCGAGGCTCCGCCCCCACCTGCCGGACCCCAGGGTAAGGACCAGGACCCCCAGACTCACAGTTCCAGCCCTGAGGACAAGGGGTTCCCTCGCTTCCCCACCCAGCCTAACCTCCTAATAGAGGGGTTCCTGGGACCTGAAGAGGGGCTCTGTGACTTCCCCCCCAGCACCTAGGTGTTCTGGCCTGCTCTTCCTTGAGACTCAGAAGTTGGACCTCTGTCCTTTCCTCCCCAGACCCAGGAGTTCCAGCCCTCAGGCCCCTCCTCCCTCATACTAATGAGTCCTGGTCCCCAAATTCCTCCTTTCCCAGGACTCCTGATTTCAGGTCCTCAGCCGTCCATCTCCCTCAAACCCAGATCCTCAGTCCCCTGCTCCACCAGGCTCAGGCATGGGGGTCCCCAGCCCTGCAAATCCAGGTGTCCCCTGGCTGCTGGTTAGACACTGACCCCATCCTTGAACCCAGCCCAACCTGTGTCCGTGATCACGGTGTGCTCTGGCCAAGGCCCAGTCCCTACAGCCTGCCTGGATGGACGCCTGGGACTGGGGGCGCCAGGACTGGGCTGGGCTGGGCTCCCCCAGGCCCTGCCTCCCCGTCCATCTCCTCACAGGTCCCACCCTGGCCCAGGAGGTCAGCCAGGGAATCGTTAACAAGAGGCGGTGACATGGCGCAGAAGGAGGGTGAGTCCTCTTCCCTGAGCCCCAGCTTTGGCTCTGCCTGGCGCCCCGCCCTCTGTGCTCTCTTCTCTACCCTCCACCCCTTCAGAGCCCCCTCTCTCTGGGCACCCCTCCCAGATGCATCCCCACCCCTCTTAGTCCTCCTCCACCTGATTAACTATTAACCACATTTTCTGTGCAGCTGTGCCACCACCACCCTCCCTGCTACCCTATACGACCTTCCTGGCACCCTGCCTCAGTTTCCCCTCATCCCTCATTGATTTCTCAGCTAACCCTGGACTTGTCCTCTACTGGGGCTGAGGCGGGGAGGCTGTAGCTGTCATGGTTAAGGACGCAGGTTTGGAGTCAGACACACAGGCTTGCATTGGAATTTGCTCCTGCCACCTTTTTTTGCTGTGTGATCTTGTGCAAGCGACATTATCTCAGGGCTTTGGTCTCCCCCTGGGTCAAGCATGGATCCCAGTGCTCCCTCTGTGAGGCTGTTGAGTGCATGAGACACACCAGGCACTGGCCTGGGGCTCCGCACATGGGACGCATGCCATGAACCAGGGCTGTGGTGACAGAGGGTGGCAGGCTCCGAGTCCCAGAGACCCAGGACCCGCACTGGTTCCAGACATTCCTCCACCTCCTGGCTCTGTGGGCAAAAGAGCAGAGGAAGGACTTTGGACTCGGCCTGGATGGATGGAGAGGGGAGAGACAGCAGAGAAACCACCATAGGGATGACAGCGAGAGGCTGCCTGTTGGGGTTGCTGGCCCTTGGGGGGCTCTGGGCAGCCCTCGGCTAGCCTGGCTTTCTTTCTACCTCTCACACGAGGGACCCAGCTGGAGGGGCGTGTGGAGGGGCGGCCTGCTCTTTCTGTCTTCCCCTAGCTGGGGCTGACTCCTTCTCTTCTTGCTGCAACCAGGCTAGCTGGCTCAGTCCGAGGCAGTAGCACTTTCTAGCTGTGTGGCCCTGGGCAGGCGGTGTGTCCTCTTTGGGCCTCCATTCTCTCACCCGTGAAATGGAAAGGGTGACGGTTGCATGCTTGACAGCGTGGGTTGAGGCCTGCAATGCCAGGATAGGCAGCAGGCACTGAGTGTGTTGGCTGGAATGATTCGTTTGGATCTCTGGCCTCTTCAGGTCTCGGCACAGCAGGCAATTCGGACCCCAAACCATTCAGCTGTGGTCCAGAGGGAACCCAGGCTCCTAGTTACCCAGGAGAATGCGTTGCACCCTAGCCGGGCAGGAAGATGACAGAGTCCATCTCCCTGGGGATGACCTCTTTCCTGGAGCTGCCGGAAGGACAGCGCCAGAGCTTGGGCCTATGGGTGAATGAACCAGGGAAGAAAAGCAGAGGCCGCGTGCAGTGGCTCACACCTGTAATCTCAGCACTTTGGGAGGCCAAGAAGGGTGGATCACAAGGTCAGGAGTTCAAGACCAGCCTGACCAATATGGTGAAACTCTGTCTCTACTAAAAATACAAAAATTAGCTGGGTGTGGTGGTGTGCACCTGTAGTCCCAGCTACTTGGGAGCCTGAGGCAGGAAAATCGCTTGAACCTGGGAGAGAGGTTGCAGTGAGCTGAGATTGTGCCACTGCACTCCGGCCTGGGCAACAGAGCGAGACACCGTCTCAAAAAAAAAAAAAAGAAAAGAAAGAAAAAAAAGCAGAAAATGCCTGGATGGACAGAGATGGCCTGGGTTCAAAGAGAAACAGACACAAAGTGGGCTCTGGTGCCTCCCCAGCAGCTCTGGGCTGGTCTCGAGGGCTGGGGCGTGGGGGTCGAACCTGGACACAGATGCCAAAAGGTTCTGATGCTGCACTTACTTGCTGGGTGACCGGGGTTTGGTGGCTGCCACACTTTGGGCCTCCCTTTCTCATCTGTAAACTGGGGGTGGTGGCAATGGCGCCTTCCTCGTGAACGGCTGCAAAGATTTAAGGATGCTGTGCAGAACTGGACGGCGTTAGGGCAGGGCGGTGCATCCATGTGATCCTGAGAGCCACTGTGGGTGCAGCGGCTGCTGTTGCCGGTGGTACTGTTGTTGCTGCTGGCTTCTGGGAAACCAGGGAACTTGGAATTGGAGGAGGTGATATCGGAGTTGCCATTCAAGGATGCCAGGCAGAGGGAAGAGCAAGGCTCTTGCTCTTCTCTGGGAAGCTGGGAGGTGACACAGTGCTGGCATGCACACAGCCAGTGGTGGTATTTCTGGAGGTGCAGTTGGAAGTGGAGCTGGGTGGGAGATGAGGTGTGTGAGCTGGACCAGGCTGCCATGAGGCTGTTTTGGGGACGAGTGGGCCAATTCCTCACAGTGCTGGGTCCCTCCACAAGGTGGCGCCAGTGGTTAGCCTCTGCTTCTCTTGTCTAACTTGTATTTTACAAGTTCTACTATTTGAGTTGCTTTTTGGACGCTCTCTTGGTGCCTGATAATGACCCACATGGTTGTCTGGGAATTGGGGGAAATACATGTTCAACTCCCAAATCTCTAAAAGCCATGCTTATACCCTAGTGGGGCTGGAAATGCCAGGCTGAGGGTCTTAGGCTGTCCTGGGGGTACCAGGGAGTCACCGAGGATTCTATAGGTAAAGAACGGGGTAGTTTGGATTTGGCGTCTCAGTAGGTTCCCCAAGCCTCCATGTGGAGGGCAGGCTAGAAGGGGAGACTGAGTAGTGGTTGGATGGGGCTGGAGCAAGGTGGGGATGGAGGGAGAGAAGGAACAGGGGGAGGAGAGTCACTCAGGAGGATTGGCAGGCTGTTGGCAGAGGGGAATGTTCTGCAGACAAGGACGGTCCTAGGAGCGAGGGTCTCTGAGACAGGACCTGGGAGGACGAATATATTTGGGGAGCCATTGAGGCCATTCTGGGACCTAGTGGGGGCAAAGGGACTAGGAGGTCCCACGGAAAGGTATTTAAGGGACTGCAGGAGCCCTGACCTGGGGCCTAGAAGAGAGTCTAAGGCTGGGGACAGAGAGAAACTGAGGCCACTGAGGTGGGTGAGACAGACTTAGGGACAGGGAGGAGTGGGGCGAGGCCACAGCCAGCCCTACGAACTCCGCCTTTTATGCAGTAGGTAGAGGCTGGGTGGAGAAAGCAGTCTCAGAGACGAAGGAGGAGAATCAGGTGCGTGTGATGCCCCAGAAGTCCAGAGGAGAGCATTTATTCCGGAAGCTGCAGGCACGTAAGAAGAGGACTGAGACATGGAGCTACCAGTTAGTTGTGTGGATTTTCAGAACCAGAGAGCCAAAGCTGTCACTGTGAGGGTCTTCGCAGCCACATGGTGGAGGCAGAAGAACTGTCCTATGAGAAGACACGAGGCAGCTAGAGGGCCTGGAGAAGCAGGGCAGAGAGTCTCAGGGAGAAGTGGCAGCAGGGGGTCTGGCTTACCGAGGGAAACGGGCCTGCTGCTGGAATCAAAGGGTTGACGATGCCTTGCAGCCTGTGCCAGTGGAGAGTACCCAGGGAGGATGAGGATGCATCCCACACCTGGGCCCAGACGAGGGTGCCACCTGCACCATACAGACATGCAGGGAGGATGGCTCTCATACGGGGGAAACCTCAGGATGCAGATGCTTCCTGTCCTACTGGAGGCGCTGAAGTCCTCTGAACCAGACCAAATGGAAGGGGTTCTTCCTCTCACCCTAGGAGACGCATATGTGGTGGCATTCCTGTCCCACCAGATGTGCCAGGGCCTCTAGGCTGCATTCTGCATGGCAGGCACAGCTGGAAACAAAGGAAGCAAGAGCGGCCCACCGCCCGCTGGAACCTGGAGAGTGGTCCTGGGCAGAGCTGAGGGCAGGCCTGAGAGCCCTCGCAGGACAGGCAGGGGTCAGCCAGCAGCAGCTGGTCTGGTCTGGCCCACTGGGGCCTCTTTTGGGGAATAGAGTGTTCCCTCATGCCTTGATGGGAGCCACTTAGCTCTCAATTTTTTTTTTTTTTTGAGACAGAGTCTCACTCTGTTGGCAGACTAGAGTGCAGTGGCTCAACCTCAGCTGACTGCAACCTTTGCCTCCCAGGTTCAAGCGATTCTCCTGCCTCAGCTTCCCAAGTAGCTGGGACTATAGGCGCCCACCACCACACCCAGCTAAGTTTTGTATTTTTAGTAGACATGGGGTTCACCATGTTGACCAGGTGGTCTCAAATTCCTGACCTCCAATGATCCACCTGTCTCAGCCTCCCAAAGTGCTAGGCTTACAGGCATGAGCCACTGTGCCCAGCCTGAGCTCTCAAGTTCTTAAGACACCCAGATAATAGCCACCCCAGTGAGGTTCTGGACTGCTCCCTCTCTGTTCCAGGCGCTGGCCTGGTGCCGAGCTCACCAGCCATACCGCCATGGATGCAGATGGGAGAGCTGGGAGCTCCTGCTGCCCTGGGGGTGGTCTTGCAGCTGCCAGGGGCAGTTGAGCCCAAGCCAGGCTCAGCTGAAGGCTTTCAGCAGCCTTTACTCTTCGGTCCTCTTATAATCCCTAGGGAAGTGGTTGGCTTTTAATCTCTAGGACCTCTGCACTGGGAATAAAATCCCTTTTCCTGTGCCACCAGACCTCCCCAGTCGGCCCCAGCCTTGGTTCCCACTACCTTCCCCAAGCTCCAGCCATCTGGCTGCCTCGATGGCCTCTCCAGCCTCTGACATAACAGGGCGTGCTTATTCTTGCCTCAAGGCCTTTGCCTATGCTGTTCCGTCTGCCCACAGTGTCCTTCCTTGCGGTCTGTGCATGGTTGGCACCTCACCTTTCAGATCTTAGCTCAGAAGTCTCTTCTAGGCCATGCACTCTGATCCCTGATCCCCCTGCAGAAGTCCATCTGATCCCTGATCCCCCTGCAGAAGCCCATCTGATCCCTGATCCCCCTGCAGAAGTCCATCTGATCCCTGATCCCCCTGCAGAAGGCACTCTGATCCCTGATCCCCCTGCAGAAGGCACTCTGATCCCTGATCCCCCTGCAGAAGCCCATCTGATCCCTGATCCCCCTGCAGAAGCCCATCTGATCCCTGATCCCCCTGCAGAAGCCCATCTGATCCCTGATCCCCTGCAGAAGCCCATCTGATCCCTGATCCCCCTGCAGAAGCCCATCTGCTGCCCCCAGCCTGCATAGTTTTCCTTGAAGCCTCTGCCACAATCTGGAAATTACCGCGTTCATTTACTTGTTTCCTTGTTAATGTCCCCCAGTCCCCGCCTGCATGCATGAGGACATGAGCCCTGAGAGCCGTAACCTTATTTGTCTTCTTTGGGTTATGTTCCTGGAAACTAGAAAGGTGCCAGGCACACAGCAGATGCTCAGTAGGACGGTAAACAGATAACGCTCCATTAGACTGAAGGAAAAACTGAGGTTCAGGTGTGGTGGCTGACGCCTGCAATTCCAACACTTTTTTGGGAGGTGGAGGTGGGCAGATGGCTTGAGACCAGGAGTTCACAACCAGCCTGGCCAACAGGGCAAACCCTATCTCTACAAAAAATACAAAAATTAGCCAGGTGTGGTGGTATGCACTTGTAGTCCCAGATACTCAGGAGGCTGACAGGTGGGAGAATTACCTGAGCCTGAGAGTTTGAGACTGCAGTGAGCCATGATGGCACCACTGCACTCCAGCCTGGGCAGCACAGTGAGACGCTGTCTCAAAAAAAAAAAAAAAAAAAGAAAGAAAAGAAAAGAAAGAAAAGCTGGGCGTGGTCTCTCACACCTGTAATCCCAGCACTTTGGGAGGCCGAGGCAGGTGGATCTCCTGAGGTCGGTAATTTGAGACCAGCCTGACCAACATGGAGAAAGTCCCGTCTCTACTAAAAATACAAAATTAGCCGGGCATGGTGGCGCATGCCTGTAATCCCAGCTACTTTGGAGGCTGAGGCAGGAGAATCACTTGAACCTGGGAGGCGGAGATTGCAGTGAGCCGAGATCACGCCTTTGCACTCCAGCCTGGGCAACGAGAGTGAACTCCATCTCAAAAAAAAAAAAAAAAAAAAAGAAAAGAAAAAAGGCTCAGAGAGGGGAAGGGAGTTGCCCAGGACCACACAGCTCTAATGATTTATAAACCATTTATAGAGAACTTGCTATGTGCCAGGCACTTTCGCACAGTGAGAGAGACAGGACGGCTTTGCGGCTGGACACAGAGGACCTGGCACCAAACCTGCCCAGAGTTCAAGACTCAGCTCTGCCTCTTCCAGGCTGTCACTATGGGCATGTGACCCCCACTTCTCTGAGCTTTCTGAAAAACAGAAATCATAATTGTGGGATTGAAATAAGGACTAATGAGCTGATGTATTTGGAGCAGAGCTTATCACCTAGGAGGCATCAATACAAGTTGGACTATTATTCTTCTTCTTGAAAAGAACTTTAAAGTATTAGTTTTAGAAGTGAGTGCTCAGTAGATGCCCACTGAGAAAGCTGAGGCTCAAAGATATGATGGCACCTGCCTTAGGTCCCAGCTAAGAAGGGGTAGGGCCAATATTTTTAAATGAGGCTGGCGAGGCACCATGGCTCACTCCTGTAATCCCAGCACTTTGGGAAGCCAAGGAAGGAAGATCACTTCAGGCCAGGTGTTTGAGACCAGCCTGGGCAACATGATGAAACCCTGTCTCTACTAAAAAATACGAATATGAAAATTAGCTGGGCACGGTGGTGGGCACCTGTAATCCTGGCTATTTGGGAGGCTGAGGCAGGAGAATTGCTTGAACCTGGGAGGCAGAGGTTGCTGTGAGACGAGATTGCGCCACCGCGCTCCAGCCTGGGCAACAGAGCAAGACTCCGTCTCAAAAATAAAAGATAAAAATAAATAAAATGAGGCTGGCAGATTTTCAAGTGGAGGGGCAAATTTAATCTTGCAACTGGGTGCCATGAGAGAGGTCTGATTTTGGGGGCATGTAGGGGCAAAGGGTCTATAACAGCAGAAACAACTGAGGCAGCCAGGAAAGGCCAGCGGCAGGGAAGAGAGCCACCAAGAGGACAAAGGTCGGGGGTCACAGTCCCCAAGAAGAGACGGCCCAAAGCAAAGATGAAAATATAAAGCCACAGTGTCCCCAGGGAGGAGAAATTCCCTAAGTGCCAGGAAAGTGTGGGGTGGAGGCGGGAGCGTGGCAGGCAGCCCGGCCATGCCCCCCTCCCCACTGGAACCCTGGGGGAGCTGGACACCTGGTTGTTCACGCGGCAGGAGGGGACAGCCCTGTCAGCTGCCAGCCCTGGGGAAACTGGGCCTGGGGAGGGCATGCTTGGGCATAATAAGTTAGCCCTGGGGGGCAGGGCAGAGCTGGCCTCGTGCCCAGACCTTGCTGTGATGAGGACAGGGCTGGCTGTGGCCCCAGCATGGTTTCTGTTGCAGGTGGCCGGACTGTGCCGTGCTGCTCCGGACCCAAGGTGGCAGCTCTCACTGCGGGAACCCTGCTGCTTCTGACGGCCATCGGGGCGGCGTCCTGGGCCATCGGTGAGAGCAGTCCCTGTGCCTCCCACCTCCCCTGGCCCCTGCAGACTCCAGCCTGCCCGCCCTCACCTCTTCCTTCTCTGCAGTGGTCGTTCTCCTCAGGAGTGACCAGGAGCCGCTGTACCCAGGTGAGTGGAGCAGGCCGGGACCCTCCGGGGGAACCCTGCAGGACACCTGTATCTGGCAGGAGCTCAACAAATGTATTTGTTGGATAAATGTACAAATGCATGCAGAAATGCTAATCATAATAGTGCATTTGTATCGAGTGCCTGCTATGTACCAGGCACTATTCTAAGCACCCCACATGTCTAACCCAGACTTTTTCAGACACCAGCGTGTTACTCATGAGTGCATCATGAAATTAGTGAGTTGGAAAACCTTGTTTTTTTAAAAGTATGAAATAGATTATAGACTGTCACAGTGCATCTGTAAGGAAATGTGACGCCAATTTTTGTTTTGCTTTTTTTTTGCATCCATATGCATGCAATTCCACTGCATCCCCACACTGTGAGGGTGGGACTGTTATTCTCCCCATTTTACAGATGGGGAAACTGCGGCTTCGAGCAATGTGGTGGTTTGCCTCAGGCCACAGAGCTACAGGCTACATCAGGATGTAAAACTATGTTTCTTACTGTGAGGCAAGACCGTTAGGGAGGCGTGGTATGAACACAGTGGGCCCTTGTAACTCTCCTAGAAGATTGTTGCTGTTTTCCTTTAAATGAAGTCTTGCTCTGTCACCCAGGCTGGGGTGCAATGGCACAGTCTTGGCTCACTGCAAACTCTGCCTCCTGGGTTCAAGCGATTTTCCTGCCTCAGCCTCCCAAGTAGCTGGGATTACAGGCATGTGCCGCCAGCCCCGGCTAATTTTTGTATTTATAGTAGAGACAGGGTTTCACCGTGTTGGTCAGGCTGATCTCAAACTCCTGACCTCAGGTGATCCACCCACCTTGGCCTCCCAAAGTGCTCGGATTACAGGTGTGAGCCACTGCACCTAACCTAATGTTTTCCATTTTTAGTAGAGATGGGATCTCACCATGTTGCCCAGTCTGGTCTTGAACTCCTGAGCTCAAAGCAGCCCTCTCATCTCGGCTTCCCAAAGTGCCGGGATATCAGGTGGGCAACACCACAGCCCATTTTCCTGTGGGGACACCGAGGCACAGAAAGGCTGAGTGACTTGTCCCAGGTCACGGAGCTAGTCCATGTCAGGGCTGGGATTTGAACCCCAGCAGTCTGGATAGTAGCTGTATATAATGTTCACACTTGACTATTTGTTAAAAACAAACAAACAAAAACCAGCTGAATTTGTTGCCGTAGTGAAGACTAACATATGCCAGGGCCTGGCTGCAGCCTTTACCAACTAGGCCTATGCAGCTGAGCTGTTATCATCCCAACATTTTGCATTTGGGGGAAACTGAGTCCTGGTGAAGTGAACCAACTTGCCCAAGACCACACATCAGATAAGAGACAGAGCGAAGGGATCACGCCCCTGCCAAAAGCCCCTCAGTGGCAACACGTGGCATGGAGATAGAATCCCAACCCATCACAGGCTGCAAGGCTCCTAGGGTGGGGCCCTCTCTACCCCCACCTCACACTGGCTTCAAACACCCTCCAGGCCCAGTCCCTCACTCAAATGACTTCCTCACATAGAAGTCTCTACCCACCCATCTCTTTCTAGCTCACACCTAGAGGTGGGTTTCAGTCCTGCACCATCCCTTCTGAGCTGCCAGGCCTCCCACCAGCCCCCACCCTCTCCCAGTCTCAGTTTCCTCATCTGTGAGAATGAGAATCAGTTGAGAATGAGAGGAGATTAAAAATCTGTGCAGCTGGGCATGGTGGCTCAAGCCTGTTATCCCAGCACTTTGGGAGGCCGAGGCGGGTGGATCACGAGGTCAAGAGATCGAGACCATCCTGGTCAACACGGTGAAACCCCGTCTCTACTAAAAATACAAAAAATTAGCTGGGCATGGTGGTGCGTGCCTGTAATCCCAGCTACTCAGGAGGCTGAGGCAGGAGAATTGCCTGAACCCAGGAGGCGGAGGTTGCGGTGAGCTGAGATTGCGCCATTGCACTCCAGCCTGG